CAACTTAAAAGACATGGAAAGCACATAGGAAAACCAACCAGGAAACCCACAAATACGAAGCAAACCTGCACGTCGCGACCGCGACCGCTCGCATCTCGCTTTCCGTTGCTTGCTGGACTGGTTTGCAGCCACTCGTACCGGGCCCGCTCGTACCTGGCGGAGCTGCTGGCAGAGTGTGCAGCATCCTCATCCACCTGGCCAGATTGGGAAAAAGGAGAGAGGACACTTTTGCGTGTGCTTGCGGTTCAAGCATTCCTCAATTGTTAATCTGCACGAGTGTAACCAAACACTCCTTGGACCCTGCATAGGACTGGGAGTGTGGGATCCCTCCTTCGGAGCCACCCTTTCTATTGGAGGGTCCGGAGTACTTCAGGCCTTCTTTCGCAGTTCTCACGACGCGACGCGCCGTGCCGCGTCACGCTCCCTCCTTTTTGGCGGTCTGCGCTGTAACCGCTGTCACCCGGTGTTCGGGTCTCGACCTCCGGCGACCAGGGGTTGCGGCGATCGGAAGAAACGAGGACCGAAACCTGAGGCAGTTTCGGAAGTCTGACCAGTCCACCATGAGTGCAGTTTCACAGACACCAGCTATAGGTCAAGATGGGTCGGTATCGCCATTGGCCCGCACCTTTGACGTAAAATCAAGATGGGCCCAAAGATGTCCAAAGCAAAGGCCCCCCGGATCGACGGAAAGGCACGCAGGATCAAGTGACCGACATTTTTCAGAGTAGGTGAGTGACTCCTATTGGAGGTAAGACTGCGTTGAGGTGTGTGACGCACGGCTGTTTCAGGTGAAGTGGAATCGTCCAGCTTTTGGTCTTGGGGGAAATGCTATTGTAGGCTCTCATTCGAACTTTGGACTCTTCAAACTAAAAGCATTGTTCTACAACATCGATAGGTTCGGAGACAAGTTGAAAACTACACCCATGCCTGTGTGGGTGTGTGATGTTTGCTTGCCTAACTCCAAACCCCATGGGAAAAAGGCAAATATCAATTTGAATGTGACTCAACATGCCCTTCACAGTCATGACTTATGAACTATTGTGAACCCAAATGAACAGCACCCGTGCCAAGGGAACGATACTTTTCCACAAATTGATCGCCAACAGAACCAACTACTACCCATACATATCCCAGTTCTTGTGCATAACATGTTGTGTCAACGCTTTAAAGAGGGCCTCATCTTCTTTTTTGGGGGGCATGCAATTGGACACCTAAACAACCCCAGACTTAAGCCAGCTTCGGCCTCTCCACGTGCTTCGCCACCCGAGATCAAGAGATGGGATGCCTCAGTACATCGGATGTACTGAGTGTGTTCCTTTTTACGAAGCCATGAGGCGGCAAAGGTTCGGATGAGGATAGATTTGGACAATTAGCTTGTGGACCCTGTGGTACATCCAATGTTCTAGTTCTGAGCAGTTCTCCATCCTGTCATGGAAGCTGAAGAAGCAAGCAACACCGGACAAAAACAGAACGACTGTCGCCAGGTACCAGTATGATATGGCATAAAAACAATGCATGTGAGATTGTTTTGGATCAAGGAGCTTGGATAGGAGAATTGTTTTTGACACAAGAAACAAAGTAACACCATGGAGTTATGCTGGGACAAACAAGAACATGCAATTACGACACATAGAGAATCAAATCAGCACACCAAAAGTATCTGTTCATGTGCACACACACACAAATGTTATTCTGTAAACTTTTAACCCCTAAGTAGAAGTTTCTCAACCCTCTCAAAACTATACAGAGCTATTAACTTTTAGGCGGGTAGAACGCAACAGCGCCGCAATTAATGTGGACGTAATGCGGAATATGAACCACATATATATATATATATATTACAAATATAAACATAACATAAGCTTGAAAATACACGGCACACTCCTGGAGTTTTCTCTGCTCATTGCTTCTCCCACCTTGCAACGTTCTGAAGCCACGGAACAGCTTGGAACACCTCCAAAGGCAGCTTTTCGATCATTGGTGAAACGCCGCCACCAGAAAAGGATGCAAAAACCCTCACAAAGGACTGGTCAACCGGGTCAAGCCACGTATATTGGGGTGGGGACCTGTGAGCTCGGATGCCATCAACTTGGGCCTCCAGAAAAAAACTTGGATGTCTGAGTATGGGATGAGTTGGAAAAAAAGGCTAGCTTTTCTGGCAGATCCATGTTCACAAAGTGGATTTCAGGAACCCCTGTGTTCTACATCCAATTCATCGAACCCCTGGTTGTCTACTCAGTATGTACCATATGGATGCCCCCAAGTAAATGCGGATGTCAATACACATTGAATTGGACGTGACTTTTGTATACCTGGGCCCGCTCGGACCTGAACGCATGTTTTCAGTATAGTAAGTATAAAGCTATGAACAATACATGCATACCAGCAATAGATGAAACAAGAATCCTACATGGTTTTGAGGTTTCAAACGCACGACCACTCACGGCTGCCCATGAAATTTGTCTGCTTGCTTGGCGCGGCAAGCGTTTGCAGCTTGAGTAAGCAAAGATATCATCTACGGTAACAATCTTTAAATGCTGATCTTTGAGCTCTCAAGGCGGTCTGCGGTACACTTCTCGTTTGTGCGGTTGTCGTTTGACATCACTGCCTCACTAGTTCATGTATTGGGCTTGAGTGCTTTGTTCCTAGTTTCGCACTCTCCCTTGAGGCGTGGTGAGTTTAACTTCACACCTCACTCTTCTACCGCCCCATCACACCAGGTCATTCGCTGTAGTCCATGTATTGGTAGAGCTCTTCCATTAACTCATAGAGCCTACCTGCCTGTTGGCTATTGCCTTCCCTGGTGTAACGGAACCAACTAGCTTCCAAGATCATGAGATCTTGTCTTGCCCTCAAAGCTGCTCTCATTCGCAGCGTGTTCCAATGGTTGAATTTCACTATTCAAATCTCAACCGGTGGAGGATGCCAGGACTCGGTCTCTGACCCTTCCATATCTACATCCTCAGCCGCAGCATCTTCCGAGCTCGCCGCGGCCGCTTCTGGTAGATGTTCTGGATCAGCATCTTGTAGCTCTCCTTGATCTGAGCCTGGTCTCACCTCCACAAATTCCTCAGGGATTTCAACTGTCTCTCCACTGTCCAACCGGACCGTGACAGTGTTCCCTGAAACCACTCGCTCTTCACCTTCAGCTGCTCCACTGCTTCTGGCTTCCTCAGCACTCACTGGGGGTGTTCTCGGTGGTGGTCTTCCTGCCGCTGCTGCTGCCGCCTCATCTGCTGACCGGTAGGAGCGGTTGATGAAAGGTCGGCCCTCTCGCTCAGCTTCTCGCATCCCAAAACGGTCTTCCATTGCTCCGACAGCAGGACTCCACCAGAATGAGCCGGTTCAAGTATTTGGCGATCTTCATGACCTTGCGTTTCTCAATGCGCTGTGTGGCATAGGTCTCGTGCTCCTTTTCGCCAACTCGCCCACCACTGCCATCGCGGGCGTTGCACCAAAACAACAGTAACTGGAGTCTGTTGCATCCCAGTGGCTTTGTGCCAATGTCGGCCACGTTCAGTGTAGTGCTGATTTGCTTCACCTCCAACGTTCCATCAGCGACTTTGTCTTGGCACCATAGCAAGCGACCATTGATGTGGCGTAGTCGCCCGCCCGCTTCCTCGCTTGCAAGCTATCTGCCTTGTGGCTGAGTTGTCAATCCAGCAAACATGTTGAATCTCCAAATGCCGTCACATGCACCTGCAACCAAGGCATTGAGCTCTGACTCCGCTGAGCTCAGTGAGACTGTCTTCTGGCTGCGAACTGGCATGTACAATCACTCCATTCACAGCATGGGTTGCCTCTGAGGTAGAGCGCCTCGTTGACTTGCATCCACTCCAGTCAGCATCTGTGAAGGTCTCCAGCAGCCATTGCTTCTGCCCTCTCATCTGAATTCCTTCGCTCCTTTCTTCCATGGCCAAGAGAATGTGTTGGCCCTCCGTCTCCTTCAGGTAGCCAATCATTCTTCGCATGCTTTGCAGTGAACCTTCTGTGGGGCTGCTCATCTTGCTCGCTAGCTCCTTGATCACGAAGCTGAGGTCCAACCTTTGTTGGGACAAGTAAATACCCATGCCCACAATCGAGCGAGCATCTGCTGGAGAAATGAGGCCTGTCTCATCGATCTCTTGGATCTCAGCTGTGGCCGGCAGCTTCTGTTTCTTCGTTCTCCTCGAACAACTTGATCATCTTTGCTGCGTATTGGCCTGGTTTGACCAGTAATCCTTCCTCGACCCAAACATAGGTTCTCTTCAGGAAGGTGAACTCATCTCCAGGCTTCTTTGCCACAGTGACCTCCACTTGGAGATCCTTCTTCAAATCCTCCACGAGCTTTTCCACCGCTGTTGACCGGCCTGTGACTATCGTCCACATGGATCAGCAGGCTTGGGGCTTGCCTCACCCTTCTTGCCCAGGCAGGGGTTGACCACGTCGAAGACAAAGCCCTGGTTCGAGATCAGATAGTCCCGAATGTGCTCATACCAAGCCTTTGCCCCGATTCTCTGCCCCGGTAGGTTCTTCAAGACCTTGTACTTGCCGAGGCTTGTCGAGATCTGTAGTGGTCGTTCCTGTGCCACCTGTAGAAAGGCTTCCTTGATGTCCAACGCCCCAATCACCGGATCTCCAGTCTCCTCATCCTGGTAGTCTCTGCTCCTCATATCCAGTAGCAATGCTGGGAGAAGTCGCAGGCTGTAGCTTCCCGATGCAGGAGTATACATCACCTCTTCGCTCAACTGCATATCCTGGAGAACCAGATGTCGTAGTTTTTTCTTGACGTGGATCGATTCTTTGACGTTGACGTTGTTTTCTACAAAAACATTGACATTGACGTTGTTTTGGCGCAATGACGTTGTTTTTTTTGGCGTTGTCGTTGTCTTCTTTGACGTTGTTGTTGTTTTGTGGGGTGCTTGGCGCAAGCTCATCATTTTCACTATTTTATGTTGGTTCCTGCACTGGTTGCGTCGCCTGGTCTCATCCACAAACGTCGATGCGCATACGCATACCATATGGGTGTACGTGGTTTTGAAATTTTGCGATTCGCAATCAATATGCACGCAGCAGAGCACATGTATCTGGAATGTTGAGTATACACAGCTAGGAACTGGCGCAATTCATTTTACGAACGTTCCACGCACTTGGTTTGGCCTATATGTGCTCTTGTAACAGGCCAGAGAAATTTAATGATTGCATTTTCAACAGAAAATCTGTTGATGGCATGAAACTCCTCACGTGGTTGACACTTCGTAGCTGCTTTAACTTAAGCGCCCAAAGAAAAAAGGGGCGATCCCGTGCGCCGCCATTTCGTTTGGAGCCGACCTTTCGTTTTGGTTTCGCTGTGGCACGAAGAGTTTTTGCAGAGCGGTTGGTTGCAAACCTGGTGACTCACACCAGGTTATGAGCCCAAAGGTTCATGCTGGAGCATAGGCGAAGACAGGCCACCCGGCAAGAGCTCGAACAGGGCCAAAAGGAGATCCAGGCAGCAGATGCCAGGATGAAGCGGGAAGCCAAAAAGAGAGGCGAACTTCCGATTGAAGATGCTAAGGTTGGAAGGGGGGGAAAAGGAAGCTCAGTGCCTGAAGACAAGGGGCATGATGTTGGCTCCACCCGATCGCCTACGGTCACCCTGCCATCCACCGAGGAAAGCGCCTCGGCTTCTAAGGCACCAGCAGTCTCAACTCCGAAGCCCATTGAGGATGAATCAGGTTTGCCAAAGCCGCCTGAAGAAGCACATGCCAGGACACCACAGGTTCTGGGACCGAAGGGTCATGAGAAAAGGGAGTCGCATGGTGTTGAAGTGATAGATGAGAACCAAGGTCATGAGATGATTGAAGCAGGTCCCCATGGTAGGACACCGGAATCGCATGCTGTGACCATGGCTCCACTCTTCACGCCTGAACAGTTGGAATCGTTGCACCAAGTACAAGCCCAAGCTCCATGGCTTTATGCTAGGTTGGAAACGCCACAAGCACCAGCATTGCAGCGGCCTTCGTTTCTTCCCTCCACTGACCGTGACTGGAGGGTGAGAAAGGAAGAAATGGACAGTAGAAGTTCTCAAGAGTTGATAGCCCATGTCCAAACTGCCGAAGCTGCAGAGAAAGAAGATCTTCTTCGCCACCTTCGACAGCTCACCTATGAGAATGGTTTGCTGAGGGATGAGGCTCAAAGAAGAATTCGAGAAGAAGTTGTGAAGCCACCAGCAGGTCTCCATGAACGACATGTTCAAACCCTGTTGGAAGAAAACCTTCGATTGCAGCAGGAGCTTCGTCGAATGTCCTCGATCCTGCCACCAGCCAAGGAAGACGACCCGATCTTTGCCACGCCGAATGGAAGTTCTGGTCGTGAAGAAGGAACTGGAGGACGGGGGAGAAAGACACAACAAAGGGTTGAAGAGACTGATGGACGAAGGTCCAGTGAAGTTGATGATTCAAAAGGTCAAGAAGGCACCGCGCGCAAAGAAACAGAAGAAGAGCCAGTAAAGAACAGTGGCACTGGAAAGGGAAGAGGGTCAAAGAAGAAAGAAGTGGGAAGTGAAGAAGACAGTGTGCATCACCAGACCTTGCAGGTGATCTTGAAGGTTGTGGAAGGAATGCAGAAAATGCAGGATCGAATGTCAAAAGGATCCTCGACGGACTTGGAAAACGAGCCCGAGATGGTGAAGCACAATGTTGAGCTCCCCAAACTACCGGAATGGAATTGTGAGTCGGCGCCAATTGATTTCGCTGACTGGCTTCTGCTCCTGGCACCATTGATGGCTGACCTGACCTCAACGTCAGAAGAGTGGTGGAATTTGACCTTGGAGGAATCTCGCCAGTGGTATCAGCGCCACCTCACCAAGTCGCCCTTGGACCGATTGACCCACCAGATATCGCCAAGTGCCAAGTTGACAACTCGCAAGTGGGCACGATTGGAGAAGCGAACTACAGCCCTACTCCTGTCTGCCATTCCAGAATCCCTTCGTGA